GATGTCAGCAACTACGACTGGGCTGCGGATGAGCACCAGGCTGTGTGGAAACCTCATTTGAAAGTGATGGAAGACCTCGGTGTCAACACGATTCGACTGTACTCTGTGGATCCAAGTGTTTCACACGATAAGTTCATGTGTGCTTGCTCAGAGGCTGGTATCTACGTGCTTGTTGGTATTCCTGCCCCGTAAGTAAAGTTTGTATGGAAATCGCAAATGACAAATTCTAACGTTTACTTGATAATTGTACATGTGAATTTAGATGCGAGAACTGCTCCATACTGGACTACGTTCCACCTAAATGTTACCCCGACGAGCTGTTCACTCGAGGTCAAATGGTCTACAATGCCTTCGCTGTCTATGACAACACACTCGGGTTCAGTGTTGGTAATGAGAACAATTTACAAGTGAAACATGGACGCGATGGAACCACGACTGCTCCATGCGTCAAGGCGTTCTTGCGAGATATGAGAAGTTATGCTGCTAGTTGCACGGGATCTGTGCGTCAGGTTCCTATTGGGCTTGATATCGCAGACATCCCTCCTCGTGAGCAGTGGATTTCGTACTACGACTGTCCGGTAGGCGACGACGAGAACACGCGTGCTGAATGGTACCTTTATGTATTTTTTGCGCTGCTGGTTGTGTGGAATAGTAATGGTAGTATTTATGATGTGTTTGACAGGATGGGGTTCAATCCGTACGTTGAGTGTGATCCAGCTACACACAAGGTGTACGCACAGTCGACAGGACTGACAAAGCTCATGGCTGAATATGCTCAAGTGGGGTACGCTCGTCCGCTGATGTTTGGCGAATTTGGGTGTATCAAGGGTAGAAACACGATTGACGGCTATGAAAACCAACGCTCATTCTACGACGTAAGCTCAGTGTGCCCTGCAAACACTGCGCAAACACTAATACTTTGTTGTTGCAACTTAGGCAAAGTGGATGAACGAGGAGAAAGAAATGATGGATGAGATCGTGGGTGGTAACGTTTTCGAGTTTTCGACGGAGAAAGCGAATTTGCTGAATAGCTCAGGTGTGTATTCGTTACCCGTGGTCTAGTTGGACATCTACCTTACGCGACTTTACTATTTTTCATGTTGCAACAGTGGTCAAGACTGCTGACGCTGGCAAATACGGGGTCGGATACTTCTATCCGGATGACTGCGATAACGATAAAATTGAGTGCGTCTTCACACCGTATCCTGAGTACGGTAACCTCAAGAAAGCGTACACGACCACGACTGCGTCGACGATAGAGTACGAAAGCTATACTCCGAACCGCGACTCGATGTTGAGCTGTCCCAAGAACATGTCGATCGATTTGCCCTCTACACCCGACGGTAAGAGAAATAGTACCCGAATGCGATATACTTCTGCAGGATCCTAATGCTTCGTTTTGTGTCCAGTGACTGTTTTGGAGTGCTCTGTGGCCCAACCAGTGTGCAACGGCAAGAAGGCCAACGCGTACATGCACTTTTCATCGCGCACCAAAGTCGGTGACAAGGTGAAGCCCACAAACGATGAAAGTAGCCAAGCCTCTGCCCTCAACTCTACCGACAATACAATCTCGGCTGGTTCGACCATATCACCGACAATGATTGAGATTGTGGTGGCGACGGTCGCGATCACTGTACTCTGCGTCTTCTAAACCAACGTGGAATAACCACAAAATCCATTATTGACAAACGAAAAAAAAATCGACAATTTTCTAGCGGACGTTTAAGGTTTCAATTCACTACACAATCGCAGTATAGCGGCGGTTGAAGATTCTCCCTGCAACGTTCGTTTCAATAGGCCTTCAGAAATCTACACCAGGAGCTTGCAGGCAGTGAGTGACTTGAAAATGCAACTGCCGACACGTACAAAATCCCAGAACGTTATATGGGAGGTGGCATCTGTGGTTGTCTACAGGCGAAGGGATCGGTCGGCTTCACTCCTCAACTTGTTGCTAGGCGACGAAGCCACGCAAAGTACAAAGCCTATAGCTCACCTTTAAAAGAATGACGTTCGGTCGTCGCATCGCCGTTGCAGCTCTGTGTTCGACGGTCCTCTTCACCTTAACAGATGCATGGCTTCCTCCGATCATCACCAAAGGCAACAAGTTCTTTGATTCGAAGACGGGACTCGAGTTTCGTATGAAGGGAATGGCTTACTACCCTCGACCCAACAGTGGAGAAATGGCCGATGTAGGCAACTACGACTGGGCTGCTGACGAACACGAAGACGTGTGGCAACCTCATTTAGAGGTGATGAAGGACCTCGGTGTCAATACGATTCGACTGTACTCTGTGGACCCAAGTGTTTCACACGATAAGTTCATGTGTGCTTGCTCGGAGGCTGGTATCTACGTGCTTGTAGGCGTCACGGCACCGTAAGTACTTGGACATTGGCGTTGAGGATGCACTCTAACATAATTTCTTTTAGATGTAAGAATTGTTCGGTTCAGGACCACGTTCCTCCAACCTGTTACCCGGCCGAGTTATTTACGCGAGGACAAATGGTCTACAACGCCTTCGCCGTGTACGACAACACTCTGGGTTTCAGCGTCGGCAACGAGAACAACCTGCAGGTCGAGAATGGAGCCGATGGAACTACGACAGCTCCTTGTGTCAAGGCTTTCCTTCGTGACATGCGAAGTTACGCAGCTAGTTGCTCGGCAGCTGTGCGTCAAGTTCCCATGGGGCTGGACATTGCTGATATTCCACCGCGCTGGCAGTGGATCTCTTACTATGACTGTGCCGTTGACAACGACGAGAACTCGCGCGCTGAATGGTAAGTTCATTGTTCCAAGTCCTGTTCCTCTTTGTACTAACCATTGTATTCGATGTAGGATGGGCTTCAATCCTTACGTCGAGTGCGATCCAGCCACTCACACGAAATACTCGCAGTCTAGTGGTTTGAAGACGCTGATGGACGAATACGCCGAGGTGAAATATGCTCGTCCTCTCATGTTCGGCGAGTTCGGCTGCAACAAGGGTGAGAACACCATCGACGGCTACGAAAACCAGCGCGAGTTCTACGACGTGAGTTTAGCTCGTAGCGTTCGAAGGAATACGATACTGATATCGCATTGATGC